AAAGATTCCGATAAGCCGCATGAATTTCATCGCGCAACAATAGCTTGATGACATAGGTTCGCTTCGCCTCAAGATATAGGATCGCTACTGCTTAATTGAAGTCTAGATTAAAATGCAAATGTCCAATATATATGCGAGCTGATGGCGCACGGCTCTTGACCGATCGAGAAACACTAAATGATAGATACGAAGACGCATATCGCATCACTCTCGAATTATTGGTCCTCTCACAACAAATCAATTCCGAAAGAGAAACTACTTCTTATGTCTATTAGGATTTCCCTTTTCTCTCTTCTCCCCGTCATTGGGTCATATAGTCACTATAGAATCATATTATAACGTCTTAAACGTTATCTTAAATTGTAAAATAAGTATAAAATTTTAGCGAAATGTCAAGAATGATATTCTTAGCTACAGCAGAAAATATTAAATTTCTTTTTATAGTAATATTGTGTTTATTAATCTTTAAGCTCCATTACCTTGTTTTACCTGGTTATTGTGTGTTTCTTTTTATAATCTTTGCGTATTTTTGAAATTAAAATCAATTGTGTTGAAATATTAAAATATCCTTTAGCACAATAATGCTGTCGATAATTTGCGATGTCGCGACCCGATGTAATTTCGCAAGGAAGAGAACCAATTCCGTGAAGGGACGTGGAGAACGAACGATATAATATATGGAGACAACGATCCGTTTCCTTTTTTACGTCAGTGTCGGGATTTACGAACATCAAGATCGTAATTTCTCGTACTTGTTGCGGTTGCTTGGCCCTTAAGCGTATCCGGTTGCTCGTCGACGAAGTCACTGACATATACATGATTCGCAATGTTGGAAAATCGGACAAAGCGAGTTGATAATATCGCAACGCATTTATGATTTTTTTTCTGAAATTTTCCTAAAAAATTTTTTCAGCGGACGTGTCGGTGTTTCTTAAACATAATTAAGAATGCATTCCACAAGATAGCATAATTATTATCTTAAGTATTTCTGTAAACGCGAACAATATTTTCTCAAATCGATTATTATTTAACACTTATCTTACCTTTTTTCATTCATCTTTTCGCTTTCCAAAAAATCTGGCAATCGAATCAAATCGCCGCGAGTCCTCTCTTTGCCGCACAAAAGCGCGCACTCGAGAAGAGACGGGCGCGTGCGACGCGAGCCGAAGAGAGAAACTGTATATAAGTCGAAAGGCGCGCAGAGAGAAAAAGAGAAAGAGAGAGAGAGAAGCGAAAGAAAGAGAGATAGAATGGCAGGTTTCTCTCGAGCGAGCGGGATGAAGACGACGAGAGCGAGAAAAAGAGGGAAGACTTCGACCTCGCATGCTCGCTCGCGCGGCTTTACCGGAGTAAAGTGCTCCGAGGCCTCTGAGGAAGAAGCTACACTCGCGAGATCGTCCTCGGAAGACCGCGATCTCTTTCCTCTCGATCCTTTTCTTCTTTAGTGTTTCGGTATATTCTTCAGCCATTAAAACCCGGTGTAATCTCGATAAGAATTTTTGTTTCTCCGCAAAATTATGTCTCTTTATATCAATCATATTTTCATTGTTATGAATATTAAGATAATTGTCGTGTATTTTACAGCATTTTTTTTATCTTTATTTTTAAGACGGGCAAGAAAATGCAATTAGGAACAAACAGATTTATACTTCCTTTAATTGCTGCATTTCCATCGGGAATATTACGATCTATTTATATTAAAATATGTGTATTATTGTCGATTTGTGTCAGTGTTTTTTTTTTATATTCCATATTTAAAATGGAATTTTTAGAAATCGTAGAGGCAATTTCTCTAATATTGCTTTGTTAAAAAGCTGAATTGATGTGACTATAATTTTTATCTGCATTATCTTTTTAAGTAACATGTTTTTTTAGTTTCTCGCACATGTGATTTATTATTGATTTTAAATGATGGATTGTATCTATCATTTATTCTAAATTGAAATATTAATGCTCGTAAAAGATTCGTATAGTTTCACACCTTATAATACATATCTTCTTTCATTCTCTTCGTCGAGAAAGCTTTATTCCCGAAATCCGTATAAGATCGATACCCCGGATCCGAGAGTAATGTCACTTCGAAATGAAAGAAGAGAGGCGGCAGATCAAGTTACATTCGCCTCTTTTTTTCACGTTATTCAAGATTGACATTTATTTATTCCGCTTCCAGATTGCACCAGAGATAATTTGCAAAGAAAGAGAGAGAAAGAGAGTGAGGGGGAAGGATAAAGGAGATACGGAGGACGTAATAATTCCTATATATTCTATTCTATTACGCATATTTATCCTACCTGGATCTCTCGGCGGGCTCCGATGAAACGCGCGAACGGGATATCACGCTCTCGATCAATCTCTCCCCATGCTCGAGGATCGCGAGCCGGGTCGATTCGGCGGGCGAGAAATAGCGAGGCTACGCGACGCTACGGCACGCACTGCCGAGAGGTAACTGGAAGTAAGTGGCACGAGCTGTCGCGTGCAGCCACGCCGCGGCGAAACGACAACACAACGTAACAGGTGCGTGCTGGCGAGGAAGGGCCTGATCTGTACGCGCGCGCGTGTATTGCATGTACGTGTTAGTGTTACTCGCTCACGGGCGAGTGGACTGTAGGGATTGAGCCTGGCTATATGAGGGATTGAGCGCGGACCGATATTTCTTTCTCTTGCTCTCTTTATTTCTCTCTCTCTCTCTTTCTTTCTTTCTCTACCGGTAGCATTTTAAATCACTGAGAAATATCGTTCGCGATAATTACAGCAACGACCCATGTGATCCCGTGTATATCAAATAATCGGGAGTTACACATCGTGTCATTAACTTGCGTCGTACTTATTATGTTTCCTTGATAAACGAAATATTTATTAAGGAATAATAAACAGTGAAGCGATTTCTTTAATCGATTAATCATAGTTTAATTAATTCTTTGAATATTTCTAGATTATCGTTATACTCTTGTTATATATGGACAATGTGATGAAAAATTTAATTGATTAGTTTTAATTGATTAGAATTGAATTGAATTTATGAAAAAAAAATTATATTTGTTTATCCTATTATTTTACTTTTAATGAATAAAAAACTTGTTAACGAATAAAAATTCTATATCTGAACAAGACTATTTCAAATAATTAATTTTCTTCAAACTGTAATTGTTTTAATATGATTATTCGTAGCAAAAGTAATACTAGTTTCGGAATTATAATATTTCATTATGTGATTCGCATTGTTCGACATAAACCATCATCGCGCGAGATTTATCGATTAAATTGTTATCCATTTATCGATTGCTTGATTAATCGATTGAGTCGGTGGTTTATGCCTTGATCGATTAATCGGTTCGTTCCCATTGATCGAATAAATGATTAAACCAGTAATTTCTTACGTACCTTGCGATAGATTCAATCGGATGAATCGGTTAATTGCGTTCGATCAAACTTTTTTCCTCTGATTATTAGTTTTGCCTTTATATAGAAAACTTGAAGTAGTTATCCATTTCTGTATTTTCTCGCAAAAAATTATTACAGATGTCCTGTTGGAATATTTCCTAAATCCATAAATTATTCATATTCGTAAATTTTTTGCTACTTCTGAGATATTGATAATGAAAAAAAAAACATTCCAAGCCGCCTACGAAGTGGCTCAACGCGTCGGCTCAACGAAAATCGATTATACCGATATAGATCGCAATGTCGCATCGTCGAATTTAATTTTGTAACCGACGAATTTGCGTGTTTTTCTCTCCACTCGCACCCACAGGGGCGTTTCTTCAGGTGACGAACAGCTGACGCTGATAATCCCACGGATTTTTGCATCGCTTACATCGTCTCCGCGAATTCGCAAGGATGACGTTAAACGTTATTTTGTTTAGATCTAAACCTCATCGAAATGGAACGCGCTTGACGTAAATAAAAATTGTGACTGATACTTTTAACTCGCATTTCGCTAAATGTGACTCATGGCTTTGATATTTCGAAGACGCCTTTCACGAAATATCTAAATCCGCGTTTTATTTCTCATTTTCAAATATATATCAAATGCCACCCTCAAGAAAATAGAAAATTCTCTCTCTATCAAATAACAAAATATATTTATAGCAATGTGTTAAAAATGCTCATCTTGGAGACATCTCGGATTCACGAGTCAAACCAACGAACCGAAACTTCCCGAAAAAGAATCACTATCACCGAATGGAAATCACGTGTCGCCTCGGGCACGTGTCTACTGGCAAGGTCCGGCACTCTCGCTAGTCGAACATGTTACGCTGCTCTCGGTGATATCACGTGATAAAAATCCGCTTGCTAGGCCGATCCATCCATCACGCGTCGTAATCCGCATTCTCGGTCTCGTCATTTCTCCTCTCTCTTTTTCTCTTTCTCTCTCTCTCTTCCTTCATCCATAAATAATCTCTCATCCCGATACTTTAATTATCCCTATATGTCGCGCTGAACTCTGTGGCAGATCCTTCAAGTGTCCTTACGTGACTGATGTATGGAAGAATTTCTTCGGACATTTAAATGACATTCTTAGCATTTAAAAAAATGTCAAGTCTTTAATTTCTTATTAAATGTCAATGGAGAAAGTAAACTCTATATTAGAATATAGAATCGGTGTCAGGATAATTGCGATATATTCTACAACGACATGAGAAATTAAGAATCTCGCTCTCGTAATTTTTTAATATATTAAATAATATTATCAATAAAATAATTATAACTATTGATTATTAATATCACACACATTTTTTACAAACTTCTTTCCATCTCTATAATTATTTTAGAGATAGAAAAGGACTATTACAATTTCGCTCTCTCTTTTGTATTCCAATTGCATTCTCTTTTTTCATTTTAGTTGTAGCTTTCTGTTTTTCTTACGAAATTAAAAGTACAATCAACGTCTCTTCGATAATCCATCCGTCAATTTATATCGTGTCTCGAGATATCTCTCGAGGACCCCGTCTCTTCAAGAGACGCGAATACCCGACAGCAAACAGATCTTTTGCACTCACCTGCGAGTATTCCTTCGTCGGCCTTTTACAGGCGCCTTTCTCAGCAGCCGTCTCGGCTCGTTCGCCGACGTTGCAGCCAGAGATGCACCTCGTCGCGAACCCTCGAGACGGCGACGACGATTTTGACGATACACCGCACTGTTCGCGATTGATAACGAGATGCAGTCACAACAGAAGAACCGGCAGCAGAAGAGTCTCCCTCGCGCGCGCACCCGCGACGCGAGTTCATTTGCGGCACGAGATACGGAGACACGCGCGGGCGAATCTCGCCGGAGCTGGTCCAACACTGAGGCGCGTGTATCCGATGGCACTGCGTGTCGTATCTTGTCTTGTCTTGTCTCGTCTCGTCTCGTCTCGTCTGGCCTCGTATCGTATCGCGTAGTGTTCGCATACGCTGCGCGAGCTCTACTGCGGATCTGAATGATTCCGCGTCAGCTGCTCGCTGCAGCTGCACTGAAGTTCCGTTGCGATTTCCACCACCGTGCGCGAGTAACGATGCTCGCGCGCGGTCGCCGAGAGAATGAGAGAAGGGGGAGGAAAGACGGAAAGTGGTAGTGGTGGTTGCAGCGCTGGTGGTAGTGGCAGTGGTTGCGGAGGAGGAGAAGAAGGACGTCGCGAGTAATAGTGGTTTTTCTCCTTAAGAGAGGCGGAGGAGGCATCGCGCGCACCGAGAGGTGGAGAGGGAAGGGGAGAAGAGCGCGTATGCACGTGCGAGAGATGTGGATAGAAACGGTTGATGCAGGTGGCATTGAGTCGAAGAAGAAAAGAGAGGGAGAGCATATAAATATTAAATGTACGATAGAGAGATGCATATGTTGTTTTCCTTTCGATCAGTAAGATTTCGCTAAATTTTTATGAGAAGTTTCTTATATAATTTTAAGTATCTTAATTTTAAGTATCTTATTTTTGAAAACAATTTTGATGTTATATCCTAGGATCCATGACTATCATGCATACGATTAAAAATGTGGTATATATCAATAGGTCGAACAATTTTTAAAAGATGAAATGTTTGATAAAATGGATTATATGTAATATATACATTTAAAAAATATATATATTAATAGACATTGAAATCTCAATCTTTTTTAATTAATATAATTGGCATCCATATGATAATTTAATTAATAATTATCTTAATCTATATAATTGCGTATTTTTTTTTCTTCCTGAAGATTATTTTCGATCGTGTTTTTCATAAAATAAATAACAGCATGAAGATGTATATGAAGAAGTGTGGAAACACAATTTGTATTAATTGCAAAACGTACAATTTAAAAATTTACCGCAATAGTAAGCGAGAAATTGCAAGCGTCATCATCGGAAAACAAATATACGTCTCTTATAAGATATACATATGTATCGCCAAGTTTAGATCGAAGCATCTTGAGATTGGAATGCCACGTGCGAGCCGCACACGCGCCGATGCAACTCGTGGCCGAACTCGTTCCACGATGCCAACATAGCCGAGGAAGTATGGTGAGCTTTCACGATCCTTGCACGAGACGGAGGACAACGGAGATTGTTAGTGGGTTATCCCAGAAGGAGTTCGAGAGTAAACTCTTTCGCTCGTTCTTGAGAGCCGCAAGAGAGCTGCATTTCGTTCCGAAGAGAGCGAGACGGAAAGGGTAGCTGGGTCGAGTTAAATGAACACAGGAGCAGGAGTAGAAAGGGTAAGGGACATCCGCGTATACCGGGTGGGAAGAGGAGAGCTTTACCTTCTATTTTCTTTTTCGCGAATGGAAAGAGGAAGATGGAGAGAATGTGCATACATGTGTATATGTATATGTACTTGTACGTGACTGAATATATTATACACACGTGCGTATTGAGTGGAATCGTTGGTAAATACCAAAGACTATCACGCCGACAGCATGTACCGAATCGCGCGTGTATGCGTGTGTGCGTTTGACGCACCGCGAAGAAGAGAACAGGGTATTCGTTCCCCGAATTAAACGCGTTTATATGACCACTTTCACATGGAACATCTACAAGATAATTCATCTAGTTCATTGCTCTCGCCTAAGTCCTCCTCCGAATTTACTTCGACATGATTAAGCAAAAACCGGTGAGTTGGCTTTCTAGACTTTCAGCTCTTGATATCGTATCATAAAGATAAATGACAGTAGGAGAGATGCAATGTGTACTTTGTATCTCTTGTATTTCTTATATTAGTAAAACTAATTTAAACCAATTAATAGGTTATAAATATAGATTTTGTAAATGAAGTATTTGGATGTTTTAAATTTTGCGTTAAAAGTAAAAAATATTTTCCTTTTTAAGATCGAAATTTATATCCTATAAAATTGCTTCTTGATAGTTAAATTTTTGTAATAGTAATTTTATAATCTCACATTAAGATCATATAAATATACATACACACACGTACACATATATATAATTGTGTTAAATAGTGACATTAGGTCTGGATAGCTCGGTGATTTAGAGCACTTATCCGGAAAATGAAAGATTCGGGTTCGATTCCACGTCTAGATAATGAGTTTTCTTGTTAAAATATCTTTACATAATGTCTTGCATCGCATGTAGTTTGAATCAATTAAATTAATAGTAATCCCTGATCTATCGAATCGACCTGTTCTGCAGATTCTGTGCAAATATGTTTTACAATCGGTTTATCTTTTTTGGTCCATTGAAATTAACCACTATCGTTATTTATTCTACATCGATTCTTCTAGTTAAGACATTTGTGTCGATGAGAATTTTCTCAAGTCATGAATTATCAGAGATTTCTAATTTGATATACCTAATCGACAAGGAACTTTAACAAATCTTACGGGTAGATCTCCGCATTCGATCTTTGCGCAATGAGATGTGTAAATAAACCGTTTAATGATTGAGAGGTTGCAGCAGAGAGATGTCTGGACCATGCAAGGTCAAGTGGTTCCTTGCCACGGCGATGTCTGAACCTTCTACAAGTTCATTGATCCGATGATTTGGTTGATGATCGATGAGGTATCTCAAGTGTACTATCTCGTATCTAAGAAATCTATGACAAAGTATATTGACTGAGTTATGAAATGAGTTAAGATTTCACTAGCAAACATCAACATTCTTTCCATTAGATTGATAAAGCGCTTCAATTTCAAAAATTTATTTAGAATTATTTCGATATATATATATATATATATATATATATATTTAAAATTTTTTCGCGCATATTTTATGACTTTCTTTGACTAATTAAATGTATAATTACATATAATTTAGACAATAATAGCATTATATTCTTTTTGATAATATTACATTATTTTATATGTTTATAAATTTCTGATCTTTATACCTATTTTTATTCTTTCTTATATATATTTGATTAAATTATCATGTAATTTTTAGTAAACTTTTATAATTTTTATTGGATGCATCGACTTTGAGAACCAATTTCTTAAATTTCAGTTTGAATCACACTTAAGACTGACTATCTAAAAAATAGTTTGAGGTAGAATGTTAAATTTGAGATAAGATGTAAAAAATAGTTTGAGATAAGATATTATCAAAGGAACATTCGAAATACCTATGTGATTACGAATTTTTATTTGGATCTTTCAATCAGGAACTAAATGAGAGAGAAAGAGAAAAAATGTGTGAATTTTGGTATCTTTATGAATTCAATTTACATAGATATTTGGTAGAATATTTATGGAATTTAATACACATATATTATATACAGGATCTCTCTCACATCAAGTCACTACGTTCGAGCCCATTTGAACATAGACCACTAACAGGATTAGGTAACACGCAGGTCGAAGCGCAGTCTCTTGCGATGAAAGATCGAGCTGCGACCAACTCGCCCGGTTATTGTACAACATAACGAAGATACTTATCGAAGAGGACGGCATCCACCGTCTCCGCTCTGTCTCTCCCGTTGAGCGGCTGTTAGCGATCCGAGTATCTACCTGATCGTCTCGTTAGCTCTCTTCGTGGAAGTGCGTCCCTGCTCTCATCGCAGTAAGAAACCGAAGAAGACAGCCTAAGAAAGAAGGGGGATGGGGGAGAGACTCTCGATCTTTCTCTTTCCCGTCTTCCCATGTCGCGCGGCTATTAAATACGCGACCATTAAGCTCAAATGTCGGCGTTATGTCTTGTCGAATCGCTTTTATCGCTTTATTATTACATAATAATTGGCGCGTATCAATCCAACGTTATTAAGAACGATACGAATCGAATCATTTTCGTGTAATAAATAATAATTAGGAATGTGTTACGTGTGAGAAACAAGGACTACGATCTATCTCTAACTTCCTTTCAATCGCCGTCGCGTATAAATATCATGCGTATGCTAATTTGTTCGTCCAAATAGAACCTGTTTATTTTTTACTCACGATGCTATTGACTGTTAAAGAGATAGAAAAAATATCTTTTATGTCACCTTAAATTAATCATGCTGACACGTCGAAATCTCATCATTGCTCGCTCCCGCCCCGTCATTCTGTCATTGATTCGCACATTAACTCGAATGTCAAGCTTTGTGCAAATTGATGGGCAAAATTCGCGTTGGAGTAAAGTGACCATCCGTCCCGATGTTTCATCTTTTGTCTCGATTTTTTGACAGGTCACTCGAAACGTCTATTTGTCCCGATTTGAATTACAAAAAATGTATCCACATGGAAAAATGAATTTTTAGATTGCCAAGCAAGCAAACTAAGTTGATTATATTTGAATTATTATATTTATTAAAAAAACTTTCCACTTTCGCAATCACTCATCTCGATTTTCACTGATTGTGAGATATCTAGTCACCTTAGAGATATCTTGAATAAAGAGCAACGACCGCATGGGCTGGTATTTGCTCGAATCTCCAATCTGCGAAAACGCGAGAGCTTTTGGAATCTATGTTACTATGCTTACTTTTGCTTTCTTTTCGCGGGTAATGGGCGCAAGGTCGCACAAATTCCGCGCACGTTATCCCCCGACTGTGTCGCGCGTGTCCGAAACGAGGAGAGGAATTTCATGAGCGTGTCCGTGCCACATTTGCGTGAAAGGGGTCCCCTCGCTCCCTCTCCCCGCGCCAGGCCTTTCTTCTTCTCTTCCCAGCGAGAGGTCGCGGTCCTCTCTTATTTTTTTCTTCCTAGCGAAGCGAGTGGGAGAGATCGCTCTCTCCCCGTCTCCCTTTCTCTTTCCCTCCTCGCGGCCGGAACAACGTTCGGTCGCGCGTGTGCGCGTGTGTGGCCCGGATAATTATTCGCGATTTATTCGCCCCGACATTGTTAATTTTAACGAGCAGCGAAATATTTTTATTGGGTGCTTGAGCATCGCCGTACGGGGATAATTTGTACGCAAATGCGCGTTTAATTTAATTTATTTACGACGCGGAATGCCGGGCGCCGGAATGTCCCGACGTGCTTTTTCTTCTGCAATTGAAACGTGCGCATCGTAAACCGCGATTCGCCGAAAGTCGATTTCGTCGCAAGTCGCGCATAAACGACAGGGGGATCTCTCTCCTCTCCGGGAAAATTTCATTGCGATCCTAAACCTTGAAGGAACGACAGGAATTGTGCCTCT